CTCTCTCTCTCTCTCTCTCTCTCTCTCTCTCTCTCTCTCTCTCCATCGCAGGACATAAAACACAATCCATCCGTGGAGCGCAGGAGCTCCAACTCAGCTTCATGCTTAAGCCTGACTCTGCCAAGGGCTCTAGGATTTGGGATTAGCAACTGTTAAATAGAAGTAAATTTACACCCCGGACACTAACTGGCTAATCAAGCACGGGCCTGGGGCACATCAAGAATAGGTAAGCAAGAACTTCCAATCCTTGTCTCCATGCACGCAGGCTGTGTCGGTGCCAGCAGCAACAAGTCAGCGCTCCTGGCAAGTCCATCAAAATTAAATCTTAAACTTTTGGGAAAAAAAACTAATATGTTTATTATGCTCCTTCAAGCTTAGAGTCTTAACTATCTGTGGGGAGGGCCTGTAATTACAATCAATTACTTATGACTTGGAAGCACTTATAAAGGCATCTGCCCTTTTAAGAAACATTTGAAGAACCAAGCATCAGCCTGTAAAGCTGATCCTGGGGGCAGCAACAAATCACAGGCTTGGGGTCAAACTCTGGCATCTCTCTCTCTCTCTCTAGGAAAAGAAGAACTGCCATCACCTGTCCTTGATTTCCTGACTCTGCCTGAACAGAGTAGCCACCTCTGAAACCCATTACTGCTCAGTGTGGCCAGGTGGTCATGGGAGCCAATGGTCATCCCAAGGCAGAGGTGGAAGAAAAAACAGGAAGGAAATGAAACAGGAGCAGAGATCTGTAGCTCATGAGGGTGATATCATCAATAATTTCCTCAAGTGTCACTGAGTTTCATGGCATGTGACTGGCAGCCTTTGTGGACAAACTACAGGCTAACTGTACTCAAGCAGCTTCTTTGGCTCCAAAGCCTGTAATGTAAGGGTCTGAATATGATTCGTTCTTGGACAAAAAAAAAAAAAAAAAAAAAGGTCAGGTGCACTGATACCTGCTGGGAACCTGTTCTGGGCAAAGGCGTCCCACTAAGCTTCAGGAACACAAACAACATGTAGACGCCCGAAGTGCTTCTAAATGCACAAAGTGTTTTCACACACACCATCTCACTTGACCCTCACCAACTCCAAGGGGTGGGTGGCACCGCACCGCTCAACAGGTAAAGACAATCTTAGAAAATGTGTCTTCTGATTCATTAAGTAAATCCTCCTGACGTTCACAGTGCAGAATCTTAGTTGTGGCTCAGTGAGAAATCTCTGAAGACACACCAGCCTCGGCAGGTTTAACCCTGTGAGTAGGACAGAGGAGCCCCAGCACAGGGGCGCAAGCACGCTTCCTCCGTCAGGAGAGCGAGTCCTGCCTCGTTAACAACAGTGTTAGTACCACCAGTGTGCCTCTGTAACACCGCCATGTTGGAAGGACAGATGTGGCAGTTGCCTGTGATGGCACACTCTGTAGGCAAAAGACAAAATCAAAAATCTTGGTCGCAAAATTCTACTGGTGAATTCACCCTTTGGGAAGAGCTTAGGTGACACCCTAGGGAAAGTACTAAGTTAGAGGGAGCTAACTGTCCCCTCTATACCCACTCTGATACCAACAAACATACCCTCCAGGGGTTTTTTTTTTTTCAAAAACACAAAGAAAAGGTAACCTGTTGCTTTAATACATAAGCCCATCTCCCAAAACACCTGTTCTCCCAGTTTCTTTATCTTTCGACCTCCACCCTGACAAGCTGATGGAGAGGTATAATGGAGTCCTATCTTTACAGCCATTTACTACCCTATTGATGTATTTATGATTCTCTGCTGCCTTCCAGCCTGAATCTTCACTGTCTTGGGAACAAAACACTACACCAATCACCCAGCCTAGGGTAAGAAGAGGCAAGTCAGAACCTCCCAGGAAGACTGCAGCCACCCGGTCTCCCTGAGCCTGTCCAGGGTTTGGTATTTCAGGTCATTCTTGAGTCGCTCCGTTTTGTGGACTAATGTTAAACTGACTTTTCACAAAAATATTTAGCCATGCTTATTTACATCACTGCACCCGCAGCGCACACAGTAGGCACATAAGTGTTGAGCACAGTGCCTCGGGTAAGGAGAAGGGAAGGAGGTTCCAAGACCTCCTTCCCCCAACATGTGAAGAGACCAGAAGAGTAAAAACCACAACCCGCTCTGCCTCCATGCATTCCTTGTGACCTGAAGCCATGCAGCTCCTCTGAAAAGGATGGCACAAACATGCACACAGTCAACTGCGCAAGGGGCGATTCCAGGATCACCAAGAAAACACCATTCTCCTAAGTCTCTCTCTCTCTCTCTCTCTCTCTCTCTCTCTCTCTCTACACACACACAGAGTTTCATTTAATAGCTTTAATACCGGTCACTGCACAGCAGAGACTTCAGGGACTGACTGCTGTCCCCCACTCCTGCCTGTCACCCAGGAAAAGCAAGGACAAAGAGCATTGAGAATCGAAAGCCACCTTGGACACCCAGCCCTTGGTAGCGGTGGTCCAGGGGCTATGCCAGCCCAGAGAGAAGTGGCAGGGACAAGAAGGTTGACAGCTTTGGGAGGATGCTGTCTGCAACTGGGCGACTCCCCTGATCATCAGTAAGCCATGCTCATTGTGCAACTTCAATGCAGAGAAACTGGGTGTGATTAGCAAACATATTCTTATCCGTTTCTGCATTTTTAAAGACCTCATTTGTGCAAGGCTCCACCCTAGCAGTTTTCTCCTCCTCGCTTATCACATGGACAACCTGCTCCCTCTCCTTTGCAGTCGCTCGGAAAAAAAAAAAAAATCCCCCGAAGGCCGGGAAACGCGTGGGGTCTGGCGCGGGGGTCTCAGGTCGGTTGGTTCTGCCCCCGAGGCCTCCCCCGAAAGGCTCTCGGGGCGGTCGAGGAGAAAGCACTGGCTGCACGGCACCGGTGAAGCCCGCACCTCCCCGGGCCCCTGATGGCGCGGACCCCCAGGCTCACCTGACCACCTTGGGGTGCTCCAAGGTCTCCACGTGCCTCAGCACCGCCACCTCGCGGATGATAGAGAGCGGCATGTTTTCCTCGCCAGTCAGCACCTGCCTGTGCTTCAGCGCCACGAACCGGCCTCCATTCTTGAGGTAGTGGGCCTTGAACACCTTCCAGTAGGCGCCCTCCCCGATCTCCGCCATGTACTTGTACTGCTGGTCGACGCGCTCACGCTGTCCTTCTCCACGCCGCCTGCACGCCACGGCTCCCCGGAGCTCGGTCCCACTCTCCTCGGCCCCGCCGGCTCTGGCGCGGGCTGGCACAACCCTGGTGCCGCCTCAGCGAAACTCCGCATGCCGAGCCTCCAGAGAGCGAGCCGAGCCCTCCTCTTCCCTCCCCGAAGCGAAGTCCTCCGCACCGACACCGAGGCGATCACATATTCTCCACCGGAACGCGTCTCGGTCCGCGGTCTTTTCGACTGCAATGAGGGAAAGGAGGACAAGGAGAGAGGAGGACAAGTCAGACCGCCCGGGGGCCTTCCCGGGGGTTCCTGCAGCCTCCCCTCCTCCACGGCGCCCCCACGCGCACCCAGCCCTCTCCCGCGCCGCCCAAGCCTGCCTGGCTCCTCCCGAGCAAAGCAGGGTCACTTTCTCTCCCCGCAGGGCTGCAGCCCACTGCGCAAGGCGAAGCTGCAGGGCCCCTCGGGGGTGAGCGCGCCGCGCGGGACGCAGGGCAACGGGAGGGGGCGTGCCGAGCGGCCCGGAGTACCGGGAACCCGGGGAAGAGGAGGCGCCGGGCGTGTCAATGTCCTAGTCCGAGCTGATACCTCGCGCGCCGCGCCGCCCGGGGGCCTGGACGCGGGTGGGGGCTCCCGGGACCCCGGAGCCCGAGGCCGGGCAGTGTGCGAGAAGGGGTGGTCACGCATCTGCTCGGAAATTGCTTCCTTTCTTTCTCTACTTTCAGTTTTTCTAAGGGGGAGACCTTTAAAGACGCGGCGCACACGTACGTGGTCTTGCTGGGGGCCCGAGGCGTCTGGGCCAGGAACGCAATCCTGCCTCCGACTGCCAGGGACCTCCCTGGTGGAAACACCTGGAGAACCAGCCACCTGGTCCGGGCGGATTGGGCTGCTCCGGGGTGGGTGAGCCGGGGAAGGGGCAGCCCCACGAAGGATGCCCAGGGTGGGGGCGAGGGGCGTCCTGGAGCCCGGGTCCCGCGTGCAGCCCGGAGCCAGAGCCCTCCGCACAACAAAGCCCCGGAGGGGTGCCCTCATTTTCCCGTCCTCGCAGCCGCGCTCCCCCGCCAAAGGAGCTTCCCTCCCCGGCGGCCGCCGCGGCCTCAGCTGGGCCTTCACCGCGCCGGCCGCGCGTCCGCACTTCCCGGGACACCTCGGCATTACCTGCCCCGCAACCGCGGGCCCGCTGGCCTTTGGCCAGGATCAAAGGGGCAGCGGCAGCTGCAAAGCGGCGCGACCTCCCGGCCCGGCGTGCGGGCGGAGCGGACCGCAGCGAGAGCGGAGCCTCCCACACGCACTCCTGTCACAACTCTCCCAGCCAGCCCAGGAAAGCGCCCCTAGAGCCCCGCCGAGGGGTCTGAGCCTGGTCGGGGGCCCCACAGGTAGCGGGGGAGCCGCCGGCGGCCGCCGGACCAGCCCCTCCCGGCGGAGTCCGGCCCCGTCTCGGCCACGAAGGAAGCCTCGGGGACGTCCCGCCACTCCCGCGTGTGCGCACACGCACAAGCGCCCAGGTACACCCGGGCGGCCGCGCCGCGGGGCCCGGGGCTGCCGGGCGGGGGCCACGCATTCGAACGCCGAGGTCTGCGCTCCCGAGAGGACAGACCTGCAAAGCGAGGCGTCCACGCGGGGCTGCCAGCAGGAAGCCTGCGTGAACGTGTGCTTCACGGTGGGCAACGCTGGAGCCCACGCCCGCACCTCCGCGAGCTGGAGCCGCAGCTCTGGTTTGGGGGGTGGGGGGTGGGGCGGTGGCGGAACCACTTTCTCCAGCATGCAGTCCCCTGAGGCGCTGCCCGTTAAGCCCTTTAAGTGCGGATTCCGCGGATGTCCGAGGAGCGGTCAAGCTCCGTTTGGAGGAACGGGTGTCCGCGCGCACGGACGCGTGGGCGCTGCCACGCGACCTCCCGTTGGCGGCGGTCTCCCCTCGGCCGGCTGTCGCCTCCTCGCCAGACCGGGAAAGGCGCCGCTGCCTCACGAGAACTGGCCCCCGTGACCGACCCCGTCTCAGTTCGTAAGGGAGGACACACAGCACCCCACCTCTGCGCCGGCCTCGGACCCCCGCGAGCCCTCAGAGCTCCCCCGGGACCCCCTACCCGGCATCCCACCCACCCAAGCGCGCAGCTCCTCACCTGAGGGTCCGGGTCGCGCCGGGCCTCCAGAGGGGGCTGCGGCGTCACCGCGACCTCCGCACGTGTCCGCGGCCCCGCGGAGCAGGTAACCGGACTCTGGCAGCGCTGGGCTGCTGCGAGGAGGTGGGCACTGCGGCGGCGGCGGCGGGGGACGAGGGCCCGGGAGGCCGACTCTGCCCGAGCCCCGCCAGGCGCTGGGCCCAGGGGGCTCGCGGCGCGGTGCCCAGCAAGTGTGCAAATTCAAGCCTTCCGGAGGGAGGGGAGGCGGCTGAGCCCTGGCGGCGCTCGGAGTGGGGGGCGAGCCGGGAGGCAGTGGTCCTTGGGGGAGGGGGGCGGTTAAGTTAAGATTTCTGGCTCTCAGGGAGGCTGGGGTGGGGGATCCTGAGCTAGCGGGCAAGAGGGCCAGAGTAGGATGTGTCGTCGGGAGCCGCCTGGAGCTGGGCTTTTGACAGGGTGAGGTGGGGACAGAGGCGGTCAGGGATGTGGAGGGATGGGAAAAACACAAAACGGCCCGGCCCTGATTCCAGGGCCCACGGGGTTGTAAATACCCACACTTTCCAAGAAACTGAGAAAAAAAAATCAGACCAAAACAATAATAATAATAACTCTTCTCTCTTTAAAAAAAAAAAAAAAAAGAGAAAAAAAAGTTTGGCAGGATGCCTGGCAGAAAAAAAAAAAAAAAAAAGCTAATCTGTCCAAACACTTTTCACTTTGAGCAGGAGCTACATTTGTCCGGTTTTCTCTCGCTTCCTTTCGGCCTCACAAAGCCCCTTTTCCTTTTGGACAGAAGATAGGGCTTGGGGATCCTCAGGCATCTTTGTGGTCAGTGATCCACTTTGAGGGACTGAGGGATTCATGGTTAGTCAGGGCTTGGGAGCCTCCAAAGGACCCACATGGGGTGCAAATAACAGAACTGCAAAATAATAGGCACACAAAGGGGGTGCTTAGCCTAAATGCATTATTGGAATCCTGAAATTTGAAACCTTGTGAGAAGGTATACTTTACCTTCTGAGAAAACCTGAATGTGATTATTTCTGGTGAAAATGAGATTTTGGTGAGGAGAGGAAAAAAAAGATCTTCAAGATTTTCTACAGTGGAGGAAAAGATAACTTAAAATAACTGTCCTTTTTTGGAAAGAGTTCAGTGGTGTTCAAAATCTGTATCTGCAGAAGACTTGAAACCCTTTTAGATTTTCTAAGAAGCAATTGTGATTTCTCATTAACCTCAAGGGGCAAATTGTAATTTAGGAATTATAGTATAGTTTTAGTTGCTTTAATTGCTATTCACTTTAATCAATGCTTATATTCTTTGATAACAAATTTACATGAGTAGTAATGTAATAATGGTATTATTTTCATTATAATTCAAATTTCAGTCAATGTGTATTGAAGATAAACATTTTAAACTTTGGCTTGTTTTTTACTTTAAAATTTCTCTCAGAATCACTGATTCAAAACTAAAAGAAGTAAATAAAAACATTAATATATATTTTAATGATTTTTTAAATTACCTTTTTATTTTGCTTTAGAAAAAAGCATCATCTCAAAAAAGTTCCGAGTATCTAATGGAGAGTGATGACATTTCAAAAAGTATACAAAAAAGAACACAGAATCCATGTTGGGATATCTAAACTCTCCAAAATGAAAGCTCCTCAGGAAGCCATTTCTAAAGAATTGGAGGAATATAAGCAACTCCTTCTAGAGGGATTTGAAGATTTGAGAAGAAAACAAGATGAGATCATTCAGGTTGCAAAAGCTTTTTCAAAGCAAGTGAATGAGTAAGTCAAAACATAGAATCGCAGACAATAGCTTACATTCGCTAATTTGCCACTAAAGCATAATTCTTAGTGAAACAGATTCCTGAGATTAGTAAGGATATAATCTACCTAGACAAAGTGATTTTGGAAAATAATGTTAGTAAATGAAATTACCAGTGAATTTGTAGTGCAGAACAATTTACGTAAATGTTAACAACTCTGTTAACTTAAGTTCAAGATTACAACTTAAGTGTCTAGCATCTCTTCCTCCCCCTGCTCCACCTGTTGGTACAATATGGCACTTGTCTAGTTACCTTTCCTTTATTGTGATCAATGGTATTACCACCAAAGGAGGCCTTGAGAAAGATTAAGAAAGAGAGGAAGGAAAGTGTAGTGTCTGGAAGAAAGAAAGAGCAAGTCCCACCTTTGACCGTCTTCCTGGCTGCTTTAGTTGTTGCTGAATACTTACTTGGCTATCTCATTCCCCACAGTCATTGTTGTTCTGAATTATCTCTCAATGCCAAAAATCAAGCATTTGCTTAATTTCTCCCAAAAAGTGGGTGAAAAAAGCAGGGCTGTCGAAAGTAAGCACCTGAAAATGTCTTTGGTGGTATTCTAAATCTCTAACTTAGTTTTCTATCCTTTTTAAAAAGTTACTGTTTCATATATTTAAGTGGCAAAACATGATGTTTTCAAATATTTATATATTAGAAAATGTTTACTAGCATCGAAGAAATCATCATCCATTATATCAGAATTGTTATTTAAATAAAATATTTCTAATGGCATGCGCAAGGATTTTGAGAATAGAGCCTTTTGGGAGGAAGCAGATGTCACCGGATCAGTCATACAGCATTGACAGGCATCCTTCTCCCTTGTACTGGGTTTGAGTCACGTTGTGAAATTTTTAACTTTAAAAATTAAAAGGCCTTCATCAAGGAGAGAGGCGCCTTTCTCTGAAGGGAGGAAGGAACCTCCACTGTGATATGGCCTTGACTAAACAAATTCAGAGTTGGTGAACTCAAGGGGCTTCCATAGCCTAGACAGCTCAAAGCAAGAGTCTCGGGTGATTGCTGACGTCATAAATAAGAGTGCCAATTGTTAAATCAACAACGGGAGTCACTGGGTTCATGCTCCCCTCGCAAGATCTCTGTCCTTAATATGTTTATCTATGAAACTCAAATACAACACTACTAGTCGAACAATACCCTATACCTGGTTCGGTTGTGTGAGTGCAACCTGTTGAAATCCCTGCTTAGTATATACTAAATCGATCTTCGGTATATGAAGGTAACCGAAAATGAAACGTGATGAAGGGGGGGGAGGGGAGAGGAAATAGGTGAGGGGAGGGCCACGGGAGGGAGGGAGGTCGGGGGGAAGCCACAACAATGCAAAAGATGCATTTTATATTCTACTTAAAACTATTGGTTGAGCTCTGTAATTAATACACAATTACTCTTAGGTGTTTAATTAATGCTATAACTAGTACTCAAATAGTATTTTACACTTTATGTTTCTGTGTAGGAGCAAAATGTGGTAATCTTTACTTAACATACGCTAAATTGATCTTCTGTATATAAAGATAATTGAAAATTAATTCTGATGTGAAGGGAAAGGGGAGAGGGAGTGGGAGAGGGGAGCGTTGTGGATGGGAGGGAAGACACGGGGGGGGGGGGGAGGAGGCTATTGTGGTCCAGAAACTGTACTTTGGAAATTTATGCTCATTAAATAAATAAAAAAAAATAAAAATAAAAAAATTAAAAGGCCTTAATTATACAGAAACTGTGCTCTGACACATTTTCAGTATTAAAACACTGTTATTTGTGCATGCCCATTGACTCTTACTTTTAAAAAATGAAATTCATGTAAGAATTATTAAGGGGAAAATGAAGTACTAAACATTGGTTCTTTCAATCTTCACAGAGCTAATGAAGTGTTAGCAGAGTTCAGAACTAAAAATTTTCTCCTGGAGAAACAACAGACTGGAACATTAACCAAGTCTGTTTCTACGCAAACTGTTTCTACGCAAACTTCGGTAGTGTCACATAGCGTTGGAAATCGTGCTAATAGTTTCTGGCTCAGCAGAGATCTTACTCCACAACAAAACTTGGAGACTCCTACTTCAGCAACTCAGGCTTCACATCACAACACTGCAGAGTCTTTGGACACGGTTAGATATATTGCCTCTTTCCCCTTGGGTTTCAGGTTGTTCATATACTTCTTATTTTTAGTTTGTTGAAGTACTTAGTTTGATTGACATATGTATGCTAGTAATGGTTGTAATTATCCTCATTAATGTAGACATGAAACGCATGTTGCAGCTAATTTTTAAATATATATTTATTTGAGAAGCAGAGATACAGACAGAGGGAGAGACAGAGAGATCTTCCATTTGCGATCCACTCCCCAAATGGGTGCAAAAGCTGGAGCCTAGCCAATCTGAAGTCAGAAACCAGTGGCTTTCTCCAGGTCTCCCATGCAGGTGCAGGGGTCCAAGCACCTTGACCATCTTCCACTGCTTTCACAGGCAATAGCAGCGAGCTGGCTCAGAAGAGGGGCAATGGGGACAAGAACCAGCACCTGTATGGCATTCCAACACTGCAGGCAGAGGCTTAGTCCACTATGCCACAGTGCCATCCTCAATATTTTGCAACTATTTAATAAACTTAACAAATGCAACCAAACTGACATATTTACAAATATTTCAAAACTGCTTTAAGTTAGGTTTTGATAATTGAATATTTTTACCTGGTAACTAAAGATATACTTTGAGATCTGCTAACATATCTTTAACTTGATTTTCATTTGTGGTCCAAGACACTTTTAAGTTTTGTGCACCATCACATTTTACACTTCTAATCATAGTGAATGATTAGCAAACATTTCATCACAGATGGGTGTTCATTATTTAGAGTCCAGGGGTGAGAGTGTTGTGGTGTAATGACTTGGGTCATCCTGGAGATGTCCTTGGCCCATATCTGAGTACTACTTTGTGTCTGGATCCTCCACTTCCAATCTAGCTTCCTGCCAGTGCATCCTGGGAAGTAGCAGATGATGGTTCAAGTGCTTGGGCCCCTGTCACCCATGAAAGAGGTTCAAATGAGTTTTCAGCTTCCTGGATTCAGCCTAATCCAGCCTTAGCTGTTCTGGGCATATGGAGAGTTAGCTGTCAGATGAAGCATCTCTCTTTGTCTCACTGTCACTCTGCCTTTCAAGTAGCTGAAAAGAAATGAACATTAAAAAAGTAATCCAAGGCAAATGCTTTTGATCATTTTCTTCCATAAGAACACATCCTGAATTACTGCCTTACTTATAGCAAGTTTAGTTCAACTTTTTTTTCTTTTTCTTTTAACTTTTATTTAATGAATATAAATTTCCAAAGTACAGCTTATGGATTACAATGGCTTCCCCCCCTTAACTTGCTCCCACCCGCAACACTCCCCTTTCCTGCTCCCTCTCCCCTTCCATTCACATCAAGATTCATACTCGATTCTCTTTATATACAGAAGATCAGTTTAGCATACATTAAGTAAAGATTTCAACAGTTTGCTCCCACACAGAAACATAAAGTGAAAAATACTGTTTGAGTACTAGTTATAGCATTAAATCTCAATGTACAGCACATTAAGGACAGAGATCCTACACGAGGAGTAAGTGCACAATGATTCCTGTTGTTGACTTAACAAATTGACACTCTTGTTTATGGCCTCAGTAATCACCCTAGGCTCTTGTCATGAGCTGCCAAGGCTATGGAAGCCCCTTGAGTTCACCGACTCTGATCTTATTTGGACAAGGCCATGGTCAAAGTGGAAGTTCTCTCCTCCCTTCAGAGAAAGGTACCTCCTTCTTTGATGACCCGTTCTTTCCACTGGGATCTCGCAGAGATCATTCATTTAGGTGTTTTTTTTTTCCCCCCAGAGTGTCTTGGCTTTCCATGCCTGAAATACTCTCATGGGCTTTTCAGCTGCATCCACATGCCTTAAGGGCTGATTCTAAGGCCAGAGTGTTGTTTAGGACATCTGCCATTCTATGGGTCTGCTGTGTATCTCACTTCCCATGTTGGATCATTCTCTCCCTTTTTAATTCTATCAGCTAGTACTTGCAGACACTATTCTTGTTTATAAGAGGGATAACGTATTAAGCTATCATTATGATCAATTGTGGGCTGATCAAGTCACCGTTTCTCATAGTGTTCATTTCACTTTAACAGGTTTCCTTCTTGGTGCTCAGTTAGTTGTCACCTATAAGGGAGAGCATGTGGTATTTGTCCCTTTGGGATTGGCTTATTTCACTCAGCATAATGTTTTCCAAATTCCTAACAGGGATCACTTTTCAGTTAAATTTAGACACCTAAGAATAATTGTGTGTTAATTACAGAGTTCAACCAATAGTACTAGAACAAAAAAAATACTAAAATGGATAAAGTATTACACTGTACATCAACCATCAGGACAAGAACTGAACAAGTCACTGTTTCTCATAGTGTCCATTTCACTTCAACAAGTTTCCCCTTTGGTGCTCAGTTAGTTGTCGCTGATCAGGGAGAACATATGATATTTGTCCCTTTGGGATCGGCTTAATTCACTCAGCATGATGTTTTCCAAATTCCTCCATCTTGTTGCAAATGACCGGGTTTCGTTGTTTTTGACTGCTGTATAGTATTCTAAAGAGTACATATCCCATAATTTCTTTATGCAGTCTACTGTTGATGGGCATTTGGGTTGGTTCCAGCTCTTAGCTATTGTGAATTGAGCTGCAATAAACATTAGGGTGCAGACAGCTTTTTTGTTTGCCAATTTAATTTCCCTTGGGTAAATTCCAAGGAGTGGGATGGCTGGGTTGAATGGTAGAGTTATATTCAGGTTTCTGAGGAATCTCCAGACTGACTTCCATAGTGGCTTAACCAATTTGCATTCCCACCAACAGTGGGTTAGTGTCCCTGCCATGAAAGTATCTTGTAAAAGGTCATCTAATATTTGAAAGTTTTCACTTGTGGGTATGAGCTGAACCACAGCAACCTCCTACCAGTAAGGATGAAAACAGTGTTCAACACTTGAGGCCCTTTGACTAATTGCTCTTTGAAGGGAAGACCCCTCCCTATACTCTGGCTATTTGGTTTTACACTGTGAGATTGTGTATCTTACCTGGTTCTCAAAGGCAGTTGTCCTCAGCTGTCATATCTGGTGTAAAGCAGTAAAGAATGAAAGAAAGCCTGGAGGAGAATTTTTGTAAAGGGAGGCCACTTCCACAAGTACCCATTACTTTAACATTCAGTTATCCATCCATCCATCCATCCATCCATCCATATATGTGAATGATAGCGCAACAGGGAGAGCAAGAAATCTTCCATCCAGTGGTTCACTCCCTGAATGTTGGCAACTGCCAGGACTGGACCAGGCTGAATCAGGAGCCTGGAACTCCATCTGGGTCTCTAACAAGTGTAGCATAAACCCAGGCATCATTGCCACAATCTGCTGCCATGCAGGCACACCACTAAGAAGCTGGATTTGAATAATGGATGAGATCTGATCCCTAGATACTCTGATGTCATCCTGTCACACCACAATGCCCACCATCCATGTATTCATTTTCCCCCCAATCCTGGGGTTTATTGATTGCATTAAAATTTCTAAAAACTTTAAGTGTTTTTTTTTTTAATTTTAACTTTTAGTTAGTTTTTAACAGACTCATTTTACTTTGTATATGTAATCCTAAGGACCTAATAACTTTCCCCACCACCTTTACACTCTCCCCATCTCTCCCTCCCAAACTTTTTCCTCCCCCCCTTTGTTTTAGTTTTTGAGATAACATTTCAAATTTATATTATGGTACGAAGGCTTAACACTTCCCAGAATAAGAAGTTTAACAAGTAAAAAGCAAAAGACCCTAGTTTAGTGGGAAAAATAGACAATGGGTATAAAAATAATGTACAATAAATTTTGAAGTAGTCACAGATCATTGAAACTAGAGTAATATAACACATTTAACCACTGGATTTACAAAGATATATAACAAAATTTCACAAAACAGTATTTTCAATAATGCTAATACACACAGACATTTCTTTTTTTCTTCTATTTTATTTTTAATTTTAGCCCCTACCAATAAAGGAGAGCATGCAGTATTTGTTTTTCTAGGTCTGGTTTATTTCAGTCATCCTGATGTCCTCCAGTGGCATCCATTTGGCTTCAGATGGTAGAATTTCCTTCTCTTCTTTATACCTGAATAATACCCCATTGTGTATATCTACCACATTTTCTTTATCCATTTTTCTGATGGTGGACAGCTTCATTAATTCCCAATGTTGGCTTTTGTGAAGAGCTTCTATGAACATAATTATGAAGGTATCTCTTAATAGTATTCAAGTCTTTGAGATATACCCAATGTGGGATTGTTGGATCATATGGCGAATCTAGTTCTAGTTTGTTTTTTTTTTTTTTCAGATATCTCCACACTATTTTCCACAGTGGCTTCAGTAATTTATATTTCCAAAAATAGTGTATAAGTGTTCCCCTTTCTCTACATCCTCACCAGCACTTGGTGCACTCTGTTTTGGATTTTAGCCATTCTGACAGGGGTGAGGTGATAGCTCATTGTGGTTTTGATTTGCATTTCCCTGATGGCTTGGGATGCTGAGCCTGTTTTCACATATTTTTGGCCATTTGTATTTCTTCTTTTGAGAACTGCCTATTAAAGTCCTTTGCCCATTTCTCAACTGGATTATTTATTATTGTTGAGTTTTTAAAGTTACTGATATATCTGGAATATTAATCCTTTGTCAGAAAAGAGATTTGCAAATATTTCCCCATTCATTTGGATGTCTCTTCACTCTATTGATTATTCTCTATGCTTTGAAAAAGCTGCTGAGTCTGATATAGTCCCATTTATTTAGTTCTTCTTTTGTCGGCTGTGCTTGGGGATCTTATCCAATAAGCCATCCCCTACAGCAATGTCTTGGAGTGATTTTGCTATGTGTTCTTCCAGCAACTTCATAGTCTCAGGTCTAAAATTTAAGTCTTTTATCCACCTTGAATTTATTTTTGAATATGGTGATAGGTATGGATCTAATTTCATTCTTCTATGCATATAAATCCAGTTTCCCTGCACCATTTGTTCAAGAGACTATCCTTACTTCCACTGTTTGGTCTGAGCACTTTTGTCAAAAATCAGTTGGCTTGTATGTATATGGATTAATTTCTGGGCTCTCTGTTCAGTTCCATCATTCTATGTATTGTTTTTTTTTTAACTTTTATCTAATGAATATAAATTTCCAAAGTACAGCTTATGGATTACAATGGCTTTCCCCCCATAACTTCCTTCCACCTACAACCCTCCCCTTTCCTGCTCCCTCTCCCCTTCCATTCACATCAAGATTCATTTTCAATTCTCTTTATATTCAGAAGATCAATTTAGTACAAATTAAGTAAAGATCTCATCAGTTTGCACCCACACAGAAACACAAAGTATAAAGTACTGTTTGAGTACTAGTTATAGCATTAAATCACAATGTACAGCACATTAAGGACAGAGATCCTACATGCAGAGTAAATGCACAGTGACTCCTGTTGTTGACTTAACAAATTGACACTCTTGTTTATGGCATCAGTAATCACCCTAGGCTCTAGTCATGAGTTGCCAAGGCTATGGAAGCCTTTTGAGTTCACCGACTCTGATCATATTTAGACAAGGTCATAGTCAAAGTGGCAGTTCTCTCCTCCCTTCAGAGAAAGGTACCTCCTTCTTTGATGACCTGTTCTTTCCACTGGGATCTCACTCGCAGAGATGTATTGGTTTTTATGCCAGTACTATGCTGCTTTGATCACTATAGCTTTGTAGTATGCTTTGAAGTCAGGTAGATGCCTCCAGCTTGACTTTTCTCATTCAGGATTGCTTTGGGTATTCTGGGTCTTTTGTGATTCCATACAAATTTTAGGATTGCTTTTTCTAGTTTTGTAAAGAATGTCATTGGTAGTTTGATAGGGATTGCACTGAATCTGTAGATTGCTTATATAGAATAGACATTTTAATGATTTTGAATCTTTCAATCCATGAGCTAGTGGTATCTTTCCATTTGTTTGCAGCCCTTAATGACCTCTTCTTCAATGTTTGAGACTTTTCATTGTATAAGCCTTTCACTTCTTTGGTTCAATTTATTCCTAAACAGTTGATTTTTTGGTGCCTATTGTGAATGAAATTTCTTTTTTCTTTTTTGACAGTGAATGAAATTTCTTTCTTGATTTCTTTTTCTGTGAGTTCATCATTAACCTAGAAAAAGCACTTGATTTTGTATATTTATTTTGTAACTTGCAACTTTACTGAATTGGTTTATCAATTCTAACAGCTTTTTGGTGGAGTGTTTAGGTTTGTCCACATAAATCATGTCCTCTAAAAACACATATGATCTTGCTGAAATTGCTTTACAAAATGTTCTCTATAAAGTTACGGTTTCTTTAACATGAAAGTAAGGAACTTTTCAAGAAGGACATTCATTTTTTCTATGTAAAATGTATACTATTAAATATTTTTGAGTGTAATATAATATCTATTATACATAGGAAATAAACATATAGGAGAACTATTGAGGAAAATAATATTACATTGGTAGTTCCTTCATTCAAATTATGTAAGAATGTGATTTATACTTTATGTAATTTTTATTTATGATAACATAAGATTCTACCAGTAATTGCTCTTTCCAACATATTGTAGTGAGTTATTTTCCCCCCATATTCTACTTGGTGATGCTGTTGACTCATTGTTCAATTTCTAAAGTTTGCCCTTCAGGATCTTGACACCTCAACTTTATGGGAAAGATGTTTTCAGATCATTGAAAAATGTAGGAGTCAACAATATTTGCCTTCATGCCAGAATAAAGGTATTTATATTACTTTATCATGATCTCCATGAACAATTTATTATGTCATGTGTAGGAGTATTTAAAGCCTGTTGGGATATTTTATCATATATAGGTATATGACAAAAAAGAAAAATAAAAGAACTACCACTGATGGACAGGGGTAGGGCATTTTGTTATCCAGAGTATCTATGGATGTGTCACCAATAAATATCAACCATGGTGCATAATCTTGATAATAGGCTCAAAATTGAGATTAGTGTTACTGATGAGATCTGCAAGAGCCCACCTGTCATGGTACTCAGGGATCCTGACGTTAATGGGATGGCTGACACTTGCACAGCACCGTGCATCTTCCCAGCTCTAACCTCATTTCCTGAATGCCTGCTAGTTTATTGCAGCTCTGGAAACATCTAGCTTGCTTTGAATTTTGCCACCATGCTACTGACTGACATGAATATTAATTTTGGGAATAAAAGGTAAGCCACTAATTTGATACTGGGCTGAGGCCCAAGACCAAGATACAGGGACCCACATGGGAAAGTGATTTGAAACTATGCTTGACATTCACACAAGAAGCTAGAAATGTCCATTTCTGCTGAGCTAACTTTTATTTTCCCCAATAAATGTCATACCCTCTGCTTCCATGATTGTGTCATTCCAGCACATTCCAGCCTATGTCTAAAGAACCTAAAACATCTTAGAATAACTTTCAGTCATGACCCATATTTGAAGTTATTGATATCACTGTTTATTCCACCAGCTCATTGTGACTACTGAAATGAAGAAGGTGAAAAGTATCTCCATAAAAAAATGGACAAAAATCAACTACTTCTCTTGCTTCAGATTCCATTTGAATACTCATGTCTAAAAACCCAAATTAAATTAATCTTTGTTGTCACAGTCACACTTGGTAAATGAATCATAGTTTCATCTTCCTATGATAAGTTGCCCTTGACAGCAATTTAAAATCTTAATAAGGGTTTTTAAAGAACACAACTAACTACATGTGCAGCCTCTTTGTATTGGAGCTCAATATTAATTCACAAATACTTTTGCTTTATATTTCAGATTTTGTAAACTTTTTTCAAGAACATTTTCCATGTTTCAAATTCTCTATATAATAGAATAAAATTTACTTACCTTCAAAATCATTGTTTGGGAGTTTTGCTGGAATAGTGGGATAAGGAATTTTTATAAAACAATTAAAATAAAATCAAATAATTTACTGTTTATTTAAATAACATGGATAGTAATCATTTAATTCTCTATCTTCTAGCTTTTTTCAGAAACAGGCTTCTTGGGGCCATGACATAACAGGGGCAAATCAGAGAACAATTGTGGAGAAATACTCCTGAAGCACCATAGAGCCATGAAACAAAGGAATAATAGCAATAGTAACAATTCCAAAATAAACTTAAGCTTGAAATTTATATCACACATCCAAGTAAAAGTATTATTCCAAATTACAGTAGCTATACATGACTGTGCTTCTCCAACTTTAATGTGTCTGGACCTTCAGCCCAGGTAGAGATCAAGAGTTTGGATTTATAGTAACATCACTGTGATATTGGTATGCTGATCTGTGTTCCACATTGGGGTAACCATAGCATAGCATACACATATAATATTTGTCTGCTCTGTCCCAAGGACCACACAAAGCATCCATGCAGTTCTCAGTTTAAGTTCCAATTCCCCAGCACTGTCTCTCACCAGGTAGCCAGGACCACCAGAGCTTGTGGCATCTCCCACTGAGACTGCTCAAAGTACCACCCACACTGTGAATCCTCCCACACACCCTGTTTTTTTTCACAGTCCCAGTTCAGAAGCTTCACACAGTCACAGGCTCCTAGCTGACTGTTATTTCTCCCTACTAGAGTCAGGAGTCTCCACTCGGCTGATTGCCAGGAGCAGACACTAGCTGGCGCAGCTGGTATGTATTTCCAAAATGGCACCTGCTCTATTGGTTTGTATGCCATTGTAAGGTGATTGGAGAGAGGGAACTGTGTCCATACCATTATTTTTTATTTTTTTTTCTCTCCTCTAGTTTGGCTGGTACACTTTCTCCCATGAGGCTTCAAGCCTCATTCCCTCTAAGCTCTCCTTGCTGCTTTTTCACCAGTGGCCAAGGCTACAACAGTCCCATCTCACCTCACTTTCCAGCTCTGGTGTGTAGGCTCTTGGCTGTTGGAGTCCTGAGTCATGGGTGACCACACCCTCCAGATATGTCTACCATGTCCCTCTAATTGTGGTAGAGTTTCCTCTGCCATTTTCCCCCCTAACTCTTCCCTGAGACTACACTATCTCCACATGTTTTAAACTATCTTCTCCTTAGGCTAGAGCAGTTATCTCCCTCCATACTCTGCCCCAATCCATTTGTTGCTTCTTATTACTAGGGGGTTGGTACTGTGGCTTAGCAGGTAAAACACTGCCTACAGTGCCAGCATCCCATATGGATGCCAATTTGAGTTCCAGCTGCCCCACTTCTGATCCAGCTCTCTGCTAATGCACCTGGGAAAGCAGCAGAAGATGGCCCAAATTCTTGGGCCCCTTCATCCATGTGGGAGACCAGGAAGAAGCTCCTGGCTCCTGGCTTCAGATCAGTCCATCTTGGGCCACTGAGGCCATTTAAGGAGTGAACCAGTAGATGGAAGGTCTCTCTCTCTCTTTTCCCTCTAAGTCCCCCTCTCTCTTTCTCTCAGTCTCTCTCTCACTCTCTCTGTAACTTTGCTCTTCAAATACATACATACATAGATACAAACATACATACATAAAGTTTTAAGTGCAAATACTGTGTGATGTGCAGAAAAGAAAGGAGGGAGAGACATAATTCCTCCACACAGTGTTTATGAGAGTCGGAAAACTGGGACATGAATACATGAATGTATAGGTCAGTGAAAGCCACCCAGGCTGGGTGTTCTTCCTAACAGGTTAAAATGCCTACCCCCAACATTAGTGTTCCTGGGTTCAAGTCCTGACTCTGCCACCTATCCTAGCTGCTTGCTAATGTGTACCCTGGTAAGATGTAGTAGTCAGTAAAGTGGTTGGGTGCATGTCAGCCACATGGCCGACCTAGATTGCATTGCCAGTTTCTGGCTCTGGCCCGTGCTCATCCCCAGCAATTGTGGGCATTTGGAGAGTAAGCAGTGCAAGGGAGATCTCTCAAGTCTATCTGTGTGTGTTTCCTCTCTCTCTCTGTGCCTCTCAAAGAAACAATTCTTAAATAAGTGAAAGCCACCAATTTCTGGCATAATAAAGAAACAATCTAAGGAACACAAAGCATTGTCAAAGAATGAGCCAACCTCCACAGTAGCTGGTGATCCAGAGCCAGCTGTATTAAGACAGGGAACTTTTGGATCTTGATGTCTGGATCAAGAGTGACCATGCCCTCCAGACTGCTGGCTCCTGGAGGGTCCACAGCCAGGATGTGGAGGGTGTCAAGGAATCACAGGGACTTTGTACCAAAGCAGCATCTGTGTGTGCTTTTCTTTTTTTCTTTCTTTTTTTTTTTTTTTGACAGGCAGAGTGGACAGTGAGAGAGAGAGACACAGAGAAAGGTCTTCCTTTGCCGTTGGTTCACCCTCCAATGGCCGCCGCGGCCGGCGCACTGCGGCTGGCGCACCGCGCTGATCCGATGGCAGGAGCCAGGAGCCAGGTGCTTTTCCTGGTCTCCCATGCGGGTGCAGGGCCCAAGCACCTGGGCCATCCTCCACTGCACTCCCTGGCCACAGCAGAGGGCTGGCCTGGAAGAGGGGCAACGGGGACAGAATCCGGTGCCCCGACCGGGACTAGAACCCGGTGTGCCGGTGCCGCTAGGCGGAGGATTAGCCTATTGAGCCGCGGCGCTGGCTGTGTGTGCTTTTCTGAGGTAAGACTCCTATTGTTGATCCAATTTGAAACACGCCCTTGACCCAAGCACATGTGAATTACAAAATACAAAGACAAGATGCAAGGCTGGTGGAGAGGAAGGAACAACAGGTAGAGGGTAGAAGGCCCTTCCATCAGGAAGTCTGTTATGGAGGTGGGGGCAGAGCAGAAAGGGTGGGGCAATCATCTCTAGGACACAGTCTTAGGCATTCTAACACTAGGAGGAGAAAGCCATGTTGAGGGAAGCCAGATCTGGTAGTCATGGCAGAATGGTGGGCAGGACAGAGGAGACTTTGTATTTTCAATCGCAACTCAGATTGTGAAAGCTTCTTTCTCTCTGGGGGTGGCACGAGGAATTTTGTGGGGCTGAGATTTAGCACCATAGCTGCTGGCTGGTCGCATGGCCCTGGTCGCAGGAGCACCTGCTGGTGGTGAGAGGGGCCCAGTTGCCCAGCTGCCACCTCATTGCTCCATGCCTTCTGTACTCTGCTCTGTAAAGCTGGGGCCACCCTTGCAAACATCACCAGCTCCTTGGCCATCTGCTTGGTGTGAGGCTCCACACAGAAGGGGTGGAGGTGGGGAAACTGCAGGGCTGGAAGAGGCAGAAAGTACTGGTTCCTTCTAGTTTGCTTTCCAGCAATGCTGTTGCCTGCCTTGGTTACTCTGGGGTAATTTTTTTTAAAAAGGATTTATTCATGTATTTGAAAGGCATATTTACAGAGAGGCAGAGGAAGAGACAGAGAGAGTCTTCCATCCATTGGTTCACTCCTCAAATGGCTACAATGGACAGACCTGAGCTGATTTGAAACCAAGAGCCTGGCACTTCTTCCAGGTCTCCAAGATGAGTGCATGATTCCAAGGACTTGGGCCATTTGCTACTGTTTTCCTGGGTCATAACGTAGAGCGGGACCAGATGTAGAGCATCCAGGATTCAAACTGGAGCCCATACGGCATGCCCACACTGCAGACAACAGCTTTACCAGCTATATTACAGCGCTGACCCCTACTCTGGGACATCTTCCTGTAGGCTATGCCACTCCTGCTTACTAGCTAATAACTTTGCTCTTGTTGGAAAGGCTTACATTTTTTAATCAGTGAATTAATATTTGAAGGCAAGACAGAGACAGACGATTGCCCAATCCACTTGTCCCTCCCCAAATGATGAGCCAGGTCAAAGCCAGGAGCCAGAACTCAATCCAGGTCTCCAGAGTGGGTATCAGGAATCCAGGTACTTGAGCCATCACCTGCTGCCTTCTGGAATGCAATTATCAGGGAGCTGGAAACAGAAGTGGTGCTGGGACTGGAACTCAGGCACTGTGGAGTAAAATGTAGGTGTCTTGAGCAATGGCTTAAACTGCTGCACCAAACCTCTACTCCAGCAATTCTTTCATTAAGTTCTCTGTTAAAATCACAGGTGTGGTTTCTGTCTCCTGCTTAGACCTTGGACTCACAGTCAAAGCAGAAGAGCACTGAGATGCTGAGTGTCACAGGAAGGAAAGAGAACATCAGGAGGAGGTGAGAGGGAGCCCCAGCAGAGGGGGACAAGAGGATGCTACAGAGAGGTAGCCAAGAGAGGGAAGGCCATGGAGCACAAGGAGCCCAGAGGACATTCTAGAAATCACCTGCCTCTGCTCTTGCCTCCCCTCCCTCCCCAGCCTGTAGCACAACTCTGCATCAGACATAGATACTGGGAGAATTGTGGGAGATGATTCTTAGTTTCCAAGATCTTTCCAGAAGCTGAGAGACTGACTGATGCCAAATATTAACTCATTTAGCTTTTCCTCAAAGCTCACAAGTTCTCAGGTGTGCAGAAATTAGCAAGTTAAACAACATTCTAGGTTTATTCATTCAGCAAGCAGTGGGTGGGTGGCTTTCTAGACATGCCACATTTTTCACCTACTTTCACTTCACCAGGTTTTAGATTCTGATGTTGCCAAGAAACTTAATTGCTACCCCAGGTTCTCTCATCTTTACTTCAACTTAGTTCATCTCCCTCCACTTTCTTCCTTTTTTAATAAGCAAACCGTCCTTTCAGAGACATGGACACATCTCTATACCATTCTCTATTTGCCTAGTGATAACACCACCTTTTAATTTTATATCAACTGACATGAAAAATAAAAGCCTATTCCATCTTTCATAGACAGAGATGCTTCTCTTGACCTGTCTCAAAAGCCCCAATTTCTAGGGCTGGAATTGGTATCACTGAATCAACTGAGCTCATACAGCGCTTGAGATCCTGAGTCAGCCTACATTTGAGGACTAGAGTGATGCTTCTAAAACAGTGTCCCTTCAAAACTGACTGACTTAGTGGAAAACACACTGGCACTGGTTCCAGTCTAATGAGCTACTCGTTAACTAAATAACCGCTGATTAAGTCCTATGGGCTTAAAACAATTTGTAATTCCTAGCAGGAAGTCACAAATGTTTAGTGTGTTATTGTGTAAAGGAAGAAAGTTTTATTACCAAGACATATGCTCTCTAATCTTTAAGGGACTTACATAAGTACATGCACTTCACTCTCAGATTAGCTCCAGGAGTCTCTCCTAAACCCAGTCTTTAAATATGTCTCTTGGTTTCTCATGGCTCAATAAGAAAACATCCCATTTTTACCCAAGGCTATTTAATACCCTCTTTAAGTGGTTCTACATGGTTGTAATGTAGACTTCATCATTTAAAACTCTCAATATGAGACTACCCAGATAGTCTCTTGGTTTCCACTAAAAAGTTCTTAAATATGCCAGTACTCTAAAGTTTAAGTCGGTCCTTGAAATGCAGTCTTTTGTTTTTCTTGTTCTGTTGCTAAGTGTGTTACTGTTTCCAACTTTGTCCTTTATACCTTCTAAAAATAAAAGTACTTTAGGAAAAGTAAATTTTATACTAATCATTAGGAATGCCTAACACTGAAATTATGAGATCACTTAGCAATAAAAGGAAGCAAAGAAAAGAGAATCCAGCAGAGGTTAGGGCTCCTTAATGAGAACTATTTCCTTGCTGTAGACAGAACTTCTTAATGAGTTAAACAGAGTACATGAGACAAAATTTTAAATGTAAGAGGGCAGTCATGCCACAGAACAGCCTATGAATATATACAAGGAGAAATTCCAATATGTGACATAAAAGTGAATAATTCTGTTGAGATTTTAAAAATTTTAAAAAGATGGCTGGTGCTGCAGCTCACTAGGCTCATCCTCCGCCTGCAGTGCTGGCACCCCAGGTTCTAGTCCCGGTGGGGCTGCCGGGTACTAGTCCCAGTTGCCCCTCTTCCAGTCCAGCTCTCTGCTGTGGCCTGGGAGGGCAGTGGAGGATGGCCCAAGTGCCTGGATCCCTGCACCTGCATGGGAGACCGGGAGGAAGCACCTGGCTCCTGGCTTTGGATCAGCGCAGTGCCAGCCATAGCGGCCATTAGGGGAGTGAACCAATAGAAGGAAGACCTTTCTCTCTGTCTCTCCCTCATTGTCTATAACTCTACCTGTCAAAGAAAAAAGAAAGAGAGAGAGAGGAAGAAAGGCCAAGCAAAGACTCAAACTCCTCTTTGAGTTAACCTGAACAGTGGAATACAAAAGAAATAATGAAACTCATCAGTTTTGACATTGTGTTCTCAGGGACATTTGGTCCACAGACCTTAACCCAATTAATCTACCAACAAATAAGGTGCAGCACTGGGTAAACCAGACACCAATGTCCAAAACCCAAATGAAAGATGACATTTTGTAGAATTGCTGTAAATCCAACACACAGCTTTTCAGACAGACCTAGCTCCATTCCTACCTTCACATGCAAGGAAGGTGAAGGCACACACACTATCGATCTCCAGGTTATCAACTACTTAGGGCAGGAGTTGGTTTTGTCAATTGCACCTTACACTTATGAAGTGCTTGGTCTTTGTACACATAATTTCATTTGATCACAGTAACTCTCTAAGGTCCCAAGAGTAGTAATAATTTCTATTTCATTGTGGGCAAACAGCAGCCAAGTGACATGAGAAGCTCACCCCAGGTCACTCAGCTCATAAGTGGAGGAGTCAGGAACGAAGCAGTCTTCTGACTCTTAGTTCAAGAGCAGGAACATTTTTTAAGCTTGTTACTACAGAAAACATCATATATACACTCATGAAGAGACTACTACAAGGACTTTCCAGAGCTTCAGCAATGTTTACTTATAGCAGTTGCTGCATGGTTACCCCATTCTGAAATAAATTTCAGACCTGCTAACATTTTTTGGATCATTTCAATATAGAGGTTCTTTCTGTGCCTCCGCCTTCATTACATTTAACAAGGAATACAGATACATGACCAGTACATACATACTGATGGCTAGGATTTCACCTAGGTTTTAGACATTATTACCCAATTCTGAATTTTTAAAATGATCTATTTATTTGAAAGGCAGTTAGAGAAGACAGAGAGAGAAAGAGAGAGGGTAGGGAGAGAGGGAAGGAGAGGGAGAGGCAGAGGCAGAGGCAGAGGCAGAGGGAGAGGGAGAGGGAGAGGGAGAGGGAGAGGGAGAGGGAGAGGGAGAGAATCTTTACCTGCTGTTTCCCTCTCCAAAGGTCACAACAGCCAGTAATAAGCCAGGCTAAGCCAGGAGCCAGGAGCTTCATCCTGTTCTCCTATGTGGGTGGCAAGGTACCAGGGATTTGGGCCATCTTCCACTGATTTTCCAGACACATTAGTAGAGAGCCAGATCAGAGCTGGGGCACCAGGGACTTGAACTGGTGTCCATATGGGATGCCGGCATCACAAGCAGTGGCCTAACCTGTTGCACAATTTCAGCCTCTACCCATAGGAAAGTTCTCCCAAAATATTCAAGGTCATACAAATTTCCCTCTTAAAAACCATTTTCTCCTTGATTGCAGAGAAAAATTCTAATAATTCCTGGTGTCTAATAGTTGTACAAGGATACAATTGCAAGTGTCAAAAATTCAGCATTATCAAGCTCTTCTGCACGAGCAAGGAATAAGGAGAACACCGCTGTGAAAACCTGTATTCACTTAAGCAACCCAGATCCGCTGGTAACTTTTCAAGGAATGCACAGAGGGTGAAGGAACAAATGTACCTTTAATATACTGAATTAACAAGAGAATTCTGCCTTTCCTGCTTTCATTGAAATAAGTCCTAATAAACACATTATTCATCCATAAAACACCTTTATTCAAAGGAGAACCACCTGAAGGCTTGGCTTGACACTGAGTTGAATAATACATCATGTTTCTTTTACCTTGTTAGTGAGGCCTACTCTGCCTGAGCACAGCCTTGAGCTGGGGCAGGGGGGTTTGTGGCAAGGAAGGGAGCAAGTGTGCAAATTGAAGCCTTCCAAAGGGAGGGGAGTCGGCCCAGCCCTGGTGGCGCTTGGAGTGGGGGGCGAGCCAGGAGGCAGTGGTCCTTGGGGATGTGGGGCAGTTAAGTGAAGATTTCCAGCTCTCAGGGAGTCTGGGGTGGGGGATCCTGAGCTCATGGGCAAGAGGGCCAGAGTAGGATGTGTCCTCGGGAGCCGCCTGGAGCTGGGCTTTTGACAGGGTGAGGTGGGGGCAGCTGCGGTCAGGGATGTGGGCTGATGGGAAAAATACAAAAGGGCCTGGCCCTGGTTTCAGGGCCGACGGGGGTGGTAAATACCCACACTTTCCAAGAAACTGAGAGAAAAAAATCAGACCAAAAAAATAATAATAACTCTTCTCTCTTAAAAAAAAAAAAAAAAAAAAAGAGCTGGTTCCACAGCTCACTAGGCTAATCCTCCGCCTTGCGGCACCGGCACACTGGGTTCTAGTCCCGGTGAGGGCGCCGGATTCTGTCCCAGTTGCCCCTCTTCCAGGCCAGCTCTCTGCTGTGGCCAGGGAGTGCAGCGGAGGATGGCCCAAGTGCTTGGGCCCTGCACCCCATGGGAGACCAGGATAAGTACCTGGTTCCTGCCTTCGGATCAGCACGGTGTGCTGGCCGCAGCTCACAGGCCGGGGCGGCCATTAGAGGGTGAACCAATGGCAAAAGGAAGACTTTTCTCTGTCTCTCTCTCTCACTGTCCACTCTGCCTGTCAAAAAAAAAAAAAAAAAGGTTTGGCAGGATGCATGGCAGAAAAATATACTAATCTGTCCAAACACTTTTCACTTTGAGCAGGAGCTACATTTGTCCGGTTTTCCTTCGCTTCCTTTCGGCCTCACAAAGCCCTATCTTTTCCTTTTGGACGGAGGATAGGGCTTGGAGATCCTCAAGCATCTTTGTGGTCAGTGATCCACTTTGAGGGACTGAGGGATTCCTGGTTAGGGCTTGGGAGCCTCCAAAGGACCCACATGGGGTGCAAATAACAGAACTGCAAAATAATAGGCACACAAAGGGGGTGCTTAACCTAAAGGCATTATTGGAATCCTGAAATTTGAAACCTTGTGAGAAGGTGTACTTTACCTTCTGAGAAAACCTGAATGTGATTATTTCAGGTGAAAATGAGATTTTGGTTAGGAGAGGAAAAAAAAGACCTTCAAGATTTTCTACAGTGGAGGAAAAGATAACTTAAAATAACTGTC